AAAGAGCTTAAAACAGTTGTTTTACACGGATTCTGTGTGGAGTACTCGGTGTTGTGGGATTCACAATGGAGGACAGACTGTTTGTCGACAAGCTAAGTGGACTAGACAACTGGGCTACGTGGAAATTCCAGATGGAGCATCTGCTGAAAGCTAAAGGTCTATGGGGCATGGTAATGGAGACGGAAACATTAGCGCCAGATGCTAATGCAGCTACTCGAGCCGAATTTGCTCGTCGGAAAGAAAAAGCATTTTCAATGTTGGTCCTTAATGTAAGTACATCTCAACTGTACTTAATTACAAGTTGCCAGTCACCTAAAGAAGCGTGGGATACGCTGAAGGGACATTTTGAGAGAGACACTCTAGCAAATAAATTGTTTCTTAAGAAGAAGTACTTCCGGTGTGAAATGAAGGAAGGAGAAACGATAACCGAGCATTTGAAGCGCATGAAGGAATTAACTGATCAACTCAGTGCTATTGGTGCTGTAATTGAAGAGGAGGATCAGATTGTGACATTGCTAGGTAGTCTTCCACCCAGCTATGCAACAATTGTCACTGCTCTGGAGACAAAGATGGACAGTTTGACTCTTCAGTTTGTGCAGCAATCATTAGTAAATGAGGAACAAAAACGCGTGCAGGCAAATGACAGTACCAGTGGTACAACACCAGGTGGCGCATCCGCAATGAAAACTCAAGTGCGTGGGGACCCACAGCCGGAGGGAATTGACAGATCCAAGTGGAAATGTTTTTACTGTGGGAAAGAGGGACATCTGAAACGAAATTGTCCAAAGTTAAGAAATAAAAATCGAACCCACAAGGCAAAACAAGTGACATGTGAGGAAAATGAACATTCTGAGAGTGCAACTGAAAGTGCATTTGTTGCCAGAGAGAATAATCAGGGTGAAAAAGGTAAACAAGTCGAATGGCTGATAGATTCTGGAGCGTCAAGACACATGACATGTTCAAAAGAAATTCTACAGGATTACCAGGAATTCACAAAGCCACAATCTGTGAGACTTGGCGATGGTAGAGTAGTCGATGCACAAGGACTCGGCAATGTTAAAATGAGAATGACTTTCAAAGTTAGTGATGTTAAAGATGTCACAATGTATGATGTACTGTTTGTTCCCAAGCTGTCAGGGAATCTTTTCTCAGTGGGAGCTGCAGTGAAAAAAGGCAATACTGTGCAGTTTAAGAAGACCCGGTGCTACATACGTGGGAAAGATGGAGATCTTCGAGGAATGGGAACACAACGATCCGATGGATTATACCAGCTGGACTTGGAGGGATGTACGCCTGTCCATCATACAGCAGGAAGTGCATCAGTTGCAGCTAGCCTATGGCATCAAAGACTGGGCCACACTACCATGCTGAAGGAGCTGAAATCTCTGGTGAGTGGAATGGACTTTTCTGCTAAAGAAGAGAATTCCTTCTGTGAAGCGTGTGTGGAGGGCAAGCTGTCTAGAAAGCCATTCAAGTCAGTGGGAGAAATACGCTCAAAGCGCAAACTGCAGCTGATTCACAGTGATGTCTGTGGTCCTATGCAGACTGAATCCATAGGTGGGTCAAAGTACTTCGTGACATTCATTGATGACTATTCTAGATGCTGCAAGGTATACTTCATGAGGCAGAAAAGTGAAGTGCTCATCAAGTTCAAAGAGTTCGAGAGAACATTCTCCAATGAGTGTGGACAAAGAGTTACAAGACTGAGAACAGACAATGGTGGGGAATACACGTCGAAAGAATTCCAAGAATACTTGAAAGCTCAAGGCATCCATCATGAAATGTCTGTACCTCATACACCACAGCAAAACGGTGTAGCTGAGAGAAAAAATCGGACTTTAGTTGAAGCAGCAAGGAGTATGCTGTCTCATGCAAAGCTACCAAAGATGTATTGGGCAGAGGCTGTAGCAACAGCAGCCTACGTGCAGAACAGGTTGCCCACATCACTTCTAAAGCAACAGACCCCATACCAGAGATGGTGTGGCAGAAAGCCGAACATTAGTCACATGAGAGTTTTTGGCTGTGTGGCATATGCACATGTTCCAGAGGTAGAGAGGAGAAAGCTGGACAAGAAAGCAGTGAAGCTTCGTTTCGTGGGATATGCCAACAATGCCAAGGGCTATCGTCTGTTCGATGAGGAGAAAAGGAGGATTCTGATTCGCCGGGACGTCATCTTCAATGAGACAGACTTTGACTGGAAACAGGAAGTGGAAGTGTCTTGTTCAGACAGTGATGCTGGCAGTGGTCCTGATGAGAGAGGAGCATCAGTCAACGATGACACACCAGTCAACGAAGCTCCGAGAAAAGGTGGCAGAGTCAGACAGCCCCCAAAAAGGTATGGCTATGATGAATATGCAGACATAGTGACTGTTGAACATTATGCTAATGTCTGTAGTGTAAATGAGCCAAATACACTAAAGGAAGCAATGATGAGCCTGAATGCAAAGGAATGGAAGGAAGCAGCTGATTTGGAGTATGAGTCCCTGCTTGAAAATGAAACTTGGGACTTAGTGAAGTTGCCAAAGGACAGAAAGCCAATAGGTTCGAGGTGGGTGTTCAAAGTCAAGCACCATAGTGACGGAGAGGTGGAGAGATACAAGTGCAGACTTGTTGCTAAGGGTTACTCACAGAAGTATGGCGCTGACTATGATGAAACCTTCTCACCAGTTGTACGATTCAGCTCAATTCGTGCATTGCTGTCCTTTGCTGTTCAGAATAACATGCATGTACACCAGATGGATGTCGTTACAGCCTTTTTAAATGGACATCTAGAGGAGGAAATCTACATGGAGCAACCAGACGGATACATCAAACCAGGCCAAGAGCACTTGGTGTGCAAGCTTAAGAAGTCAATCTATGGCCTCAAGCAGTCACCTCGCTGCTGGAGTAAGACTTTCACAGAGTTCATGAAAGATCTTGGATTCAATCAGAGCACATCAGACCCCTGTGTGTTTGTGAGAGCTCGACAGGAGCTAGAGATATTAGCTGTTTATGTTGATGATCTTATTCTGATTACAGAGTCACTGCAGAGCATGAGTGAGTTGAAAGATGCTCTGAAAAAGAAGTACAAGATGAAAGACATGGGTGAGTTGTCTTACATACTGGGCATCTCAGTGATTCAAGACAAAATAAATAAATGTGTGTATCTTCACCAAAAGCATTACATTGAAGCTATTGTTCAGAAATATGGGATGGATAAAGCCAATTCAGTCACAACTCCAGCTGATGTAAATGTGAAGTTACAGAAAAATGATGGTGTCAGTAAACCAGTGAATCCAGGTTTCTACCAGTCAATTGTGGGAAGTCTGCTGTACGCTGCAATGGCCACCAGACCAGACATCGCACAAGCTGTGAGTGCTGTGTCAAAGTTCAACGCAGAACCAAACACTGCACACATGACTGCTGTGAAGAGGATTCTTCGCTACTTGAAAGGTACCAAAAACCTCGCTCTCAAGTACCAGCAGTCAGAGTCTGGAACTTTAGTCGGTTTTTCAGACGCTGATTGGGCAGGAGATCAGGATGATCGTCGTTCTACAACCGGGAATGTTTTCCTACTGAGTGGAGGAGCAATAAGCTGGCTCAGCAAGAAACAGAACACAGTCGCACTGTCAACAGCTGAAGCTGAATACGTCGCTCTCAGCCAGGCAGCACAAGAATGTACCTGGCTCACACGACTGCTCAGTGATCTCGGAATGGATGTTACACCAACTGTGATTCAGGATGACAACCAAGGAGCTATTGCCATAGCTAAGAATCCAGTTGATCATTCAAGAACAAAGCACATAGACATTCGTTACCATTACATTCGTGAATGTGTGCAGAATGGACAAATTCAACTGCAATACTGTTCCACAGATAATATGAAGGCAGATATCTTGACCAAACCATTAGCAAAGAAGAAGTTTGAATATCTTAGGAAAGAGATTGGACTTTGTGCTGTGTAACTCTGATAAGTATATGTTGTAGGCCAATGTTTAGTGTTGAAAGAGCCTAAGTTAAGACTACTGTGTAAGTAAGGTAAATAAGAAAAAGAGATGTTAAAATGTTTTGCTAGTTTTCTTAGTTTTTAAGTTTATTAAGAAGGGGACTTATAATTTAAAAGAAATGTCTAAGTTTAATACATTTCCTTACTGATTTAAGTTGTTTCAGAAAATGAAAGTAAGACTTAAGTTTATTGTAAAATTAAGTGGGAGTGTTGTAATACAGTAATTTGACAATGCAGGTCAGGATGTGAAATA